GTGCACTCGCAGTTGGTGTCGTCGGCCAGTCAAGGGAGTGAGCTTAACGTGGGTAACCGGCGTCTTGTGGAAGTAGCCACGCTTGAGCACCTCGACGTGGGTCTCGCACGCTTTGCCGACAGGCCCGCCTTCGGTTGCGAGGTAGACGCGCTTGAGTTCGTCTGCAGGATCATCCACGAGGGCCTTGGAAATCACAAAATCATCTCCCTCAACGTGGCCTTGCACGAGAGCGGAGTAGGTCTTTTTGACCTCCCGATCCATGAACAGCTTTCCAGCGATGCCGGTTGCCCGCTTAGACAAGCCCCAAGCGTGAACCCCGGATGTCACATAGTCCAGCTGGTGAATCAGGTAGAGCTTTTCGTGCTCGGGAAACCGAGCGTTGAGCAAGGATTCTGCGGTAGGGCAGCTTGTAGTGTCACCATCGATGCGGACATCCCATGGCTTGTTGGTCACGAGGTATGTTTCGGGCTATTCGCGGGAGCGGAAGCGAAGGAGCGCGTTAGTGAGGAACCAGATGAACTGACAAGCATGTTCGAAACATTGTTCGCACCTGGTAGTAGAGGACATCGATCTGATAGTCCCTATTGTAGCGCGGGTCGTATCCAGCAACGGAGATAGGGGGCTCGGGGGAAGGGCTGAGGCCTGACGCTTCGGAAATAGGTGGGACCTCGATGGTAGCCGACTCGTCGGAAGCGGGAACCAGATCAACGGCCTCTTGGGAGACTTCGTCGGAGAGTTCCTGCTGAGCAGCTTCAGGAGCGTTGTGCTGAAACGGCTTCTTGAACAGAGTAGTTGCTTCCTCAGCGATGGTCTTGACCGAATCCGGCACGATGTCGAGAAGCTCGTCGGTTACCATTGGACCGAAGTGACTGTAAGTTTTTCTATTGGGGTATCTATGCAGATTCTACTGTGTGTTGAAAAGTGTAATGGTTGCAAATGCGGAATGTTCAGGGTGAGTTGAAGCGGCGGCGGCACAACCGACGCAACTTCTCTCTCTCCTCTCTCTCGCACACACAACCAACACATCCATTTCGGCAGCTCGGTGTTGTCCTCAGGGACCAACGTCATGCTGGACGGTGACGAGCGTTCACGGCAAGGTTCTGAGCAGGGGTTCTGGGCGTGTATGTGTACGCTGGCAGAATTCAGAGTACAGCATTCACATGTCCCAATGTCATATCCATCTCACGTCGGCCAGTTTTCCTCTAATGTCGCCGGCATACGGGACAATGAAGCGGCGGAATAGCGCTACACAGTTCTTAATAACCGATCAGTGTTATGGTTTCCCATGGATCAACAGTCTTTGTGGAATGCAAGGAAGGTCCGGCCCATGTTTCAGGGAACGAACGCAGCCGCCCTCGGACCGTTGTTTTTGATGGTAACGTTCAACTTGAGGATCAGCTGAGGGAATGTCAAGCGTGTACCATCTTTTATAGGAGGCGCCCAGGGACGGAAAAAAGAAAAAAACAAAATGTGTGTGTGTGTGGCGCAGCTGCGTCGGTGTGTGGCGCAGCTCATCCGCATCGTCTAAGATCGTGCAGCATCGTCCAAGAAACTCTGCTATCAGAAACTATCTCGCCGGCTAGTCCAGCTCGAGTGCATCGGCCTCCGCCATTGCGCGCCTCACGACGCCCCAGAGGATTTTGTCGACACAGAGCGTGTCGCCTCGTCTCCCGTGTCCCTTGTGGAGCTTTCGAAAGTCCATGCATAGCTCCTCGCATATCTTCAAACTCTCCCCGCTCACAAAATCCAGAGCGAATTTGATGCAATCACCGTAGTTTGCCACCTGGTGGGCGAAACCCACCGGAATAAAAACCGTGTCACCTGGCATCTGATGGAGGCGGATGGGCTTGATCCCCGTTGCCGCGTGGAGTTCCGCAAGATGATGCGGATGAAGGTAGAAGGTCTGGTCGTTCACAGGGTCGTCGATCTTCCACGGTGGCGGTCGATACGAAGTTCGCAGGTAATCTCGAAGAACGGCAAGGGATGCAGGAGGAAAAAGGTCCCATATGGCACCATCCGTGCGGTAAGGTGGGTGTGGAGTCGATTCGTCGGCTTTGGTTTCGTCGCCGTGTGGTTGTGACCAAACCATAACATTTGCAGCATCTGCAACATCCAGATGGAGCTTCGTCGTTGCCCCGGTCTCGTGCGGCTATCGGTCACGTGCGGAATCGGTTGCAGATTCCGGGCAGCCTTTCCCGGAGGTGCATGTGTGTGGGCCAATCCTTGGCAAGCAACCAAAGTTAGCAGAAGGTAATCGCAACTTAGCACCAAGCTGCCACCCATACCTTCAATTTCAAATTGGAACGATCTGCTGAACCTTTCCCAAACTGTTGAAAAAAGAAGCTCAGAGGGCGGTCAACCACAAGGTCGGTCTTACAGTCCACAAGCGCCGCCGCATCTTCCCCAGCCGCCTCGCCAGTCATCCTTCAAGCGGCCGGCCATATTTGTAACGAAGACGACCTTCCGATCGCTCCAACTTTGTTGGAATCTTGGTACATTCAAATCCTCCAGTGCACTGATACAACAAGCTTGGAGCTCCAACGCGGGCCTTTTCCAGAGACCATTCTTCGCTGCATACAGTACACAATTCGCGCCTGCACGTGGCACACATGTAATAAGCGTTGTAGATCCCATGATCGCATGCGTCGCACGTTTGTCTTGTGTCCACCTGGGGATGTCGGACGCAATGGGGCCGTATAGAAACGCCAAGAGGAGATGCTTGGATGTGATCCAGCTCGCGATCTATCGTCCCAACAAACTCTGCGTGAGTAAAGTGCATCTGATGGCTGAGAGCCGCCGAGAGAGGAGGAAACGCGCCGGGCGGAGGAAGTCGGGTCCCCTTCCGTTCAGCGGTAGCCTTTTCCGTTATGAAATAAGGAGCACCGGTAGGAACCCCCGAGGCATCATGCCGGAATGCGCGAAAGCCTATAAATCGACATGCGTCGCCGACCTTCTTGCTGACGCACGTGAAGCACCGGCCCAATGCTGAATACTTCGTCGTTCGGCAGGCAGAAACCTGTTTGTGTACGTCTTCCTGATCATTACATTGTATGACATCAGGAGGCGGGGCAAGCTTGTCCCTCAGCTCGCTAAGCACGCCGACTACGAAAGGTTTCGCCCTGATACGCGTGTCACTGCCAATTTCCAGAGTGGAAGACACTTGGCGTGCCGTGTGCGGGAGGTGAGGTGCTGCTGGAGGATCTTTCTGTTCCTGGAATTGCTCCAGCGAGGAAGACTCAGGATTCAGCGTAGAAGGATCTTCAATCAAAGACGCGAAGTCTCGGGTCGCAGAATCCGGGAATAGGAGGCTGGGGCTCTCCGTACAATCCATGTCGACGAGAGGAGCTTCCGGGTTCTCCTCTAACGAGATGGTAGGTGGAGCTCTCAAGGACAAGGGTTGCGATAGCTCCGGTGCATGATTGCTGTGTGATGAAAAAGGGATGGAGTCCGCCAGCGGACCCTGTAACTGCTGCTCAAGGTTTTGCGGGCAGGGATCGCCTCGGAGAGTAAAGGTTGATAGAACCCGCTTTCTTGGAATTCCGTCATCTACCTCAAGGACTTCAAGCGCCCGCAGTCGCTTTGCTTGAAGTAGTCGCGTCGAAGTAGTCGCATCGACCTCGTGAGGGACTGAATGAGAAGAAGCCCCGGCCGTGAGTGCCTGCAAGGCCAGGTTACTTTCTGAATTGACATCGGGCAGGTTTCCGGTGGGTATCGTCGGTTTGTGAGGAGGTTCAGCGGGGAATGACGGCACGGCCTTTCGACTTCCTGTATCTGGCGGCATGGGCGAGTACGGTGGAAGGGGGAAAGGGAGAGAGAGAGAGATGCTGTACGTTGCTTGAGCACACAGAGATGGAAGAAATTCACAACGACGACGGACGCTCTTTCCGTCCTGTCCGCCTGGCTCGGACGTCAGCCCTTTCTTTGACCCTCGGCCAGCGGCAGAGAGGACGACAGGACAGCGACAGGACCAACAAGGAGCCAGTGCGTGCGTGCATGCAAGCAAGATCAATTTTTTTTCGTTACGAAAAGCAAGAAAGAGGAACAAGGGAGAACCGCAAAGCACACGAACAGAAACAACAACAGTGCAGAAGCAGAACGAGTAGAGAACGCACACGCTTACAGCCTCAGCGAGCCAGTTAGGCCATCGAACCGACAGGAGCTGCTTCCTCGTGCTCGCCCGTGCGCATGTGCCAGCATGGTGGAACAACTGTGCCAGCATGTTCTGGCTATGCTCTTTCTTGGTGTTTTGCTCGGCCTCGTTATGAACTATCTCGCGAGAATGAAGAAGCAACACCTTGTCCGTGGCAGGCTTGACAATGTTCTTAAGAGCCCACTCGAGAGCGTATCCGCTGTTGTCTGAGCCAAGAAAGATAAAAGTAAGCTGCAATGTTCAACGTTCGATAGATGCACCATTGCAAAGAGTAGATACCAGATCCATCAACGGCCACGGCCACCACGCGCTCGTACGTTGTGCCGCCCGCCTCCTGAAGGACCTCCTCGTGCATAGGAGCCTGCACATCGTGCTGAGGGGTCTCGCTTGACTGACTGGCAGTTTTAGACGTCCATGACGGTGTCTCGGCCGTTTCGTGCTTGGGCTTCCTGTGGAAGACATCTTTTGATAGCCTGCTTGATGTCCTCGGTTTTGGTGCCGGGATTTTCCTGACGCGTAGGGGGAGCCTGAGGATTGACTGGGGCCTCGGTCGTTGTGGGCTTTGCGTCACCGCCGAGCATGTTTGTTAGATCGTGTTTGAAACGTGGTATAGAAGTGAGAGGTTGCGAATGGTCGCAGTGGCGAAGGAAGATAACCATATTTTGCCCTTCTGGTGCACTTTTTCTTGCAATGTGTACACTACTTTGACGAATCCTAGAAACTCCTTATCCCAAAACCTGGCGCATGCGAGCTACGATCGCTGATGCGTATCCGACCTCACCGTTGTACTTTTTCGATAGCATTTGAAGTTGTAGGTATATACTGCAAAGTTTGCGGATATCTACTATAAGCTCGCATAGTTTAGTTGGTCATAACGTCGCCTTCACACGGCGAAGGTCCTCAGTTCAACTCTGAGTGCGAGTACGTAGTTGATCGAGGAACATGAATCGAGGAACATGAATCCCATCTCTCGGGTAGAATATTTCGCTTCGGGCACCTAGCGAGAGCAGCCCCACTAGCGTACGTTGGCTCCATTTTCTATTGTTTGCCATAGTACAGGATCCCATGAACATGAAGTTCGCAACTGGGATGGGTGAATTTGTGGATGGGGGGAAGAAAATGTAGAACACCTCTAGCATCCACGGGGTTTGAGCACCCTTCCCACGTTCCCTCTTCCACCTCTCGTAGGCTATCAACGCACCGTCAATACTGGCGTGAGCTAAGCGAGCCACAAGGCCAGCATCAGCATTCAGGTATGCTGGAACGAGCGTCTGCAAAAGCCTCGGATGATCATTTCCTCGAGCCAAGCTGGCCATCACTGCACTCGCCCGCGGCAAGGGGTCCGTGGCTGAGGTAGTATCCACCCCGAGCTCGATATTTATGTTTTCCACAATCCATGCAAAGATAAGTTGCGAGTTGCTCCTTGGATCCGATCCATGACTCGTCCCGATATTATCGGGGGATGTTGCAGCCAAAAGGCAATCGATTATCCATGGGGACTCTGCCTCCAAAGTGATCATCGTCTTGGTGATACCCAGCAGCACGTCTTGATGCAGGAGGGGAGCCTCAGCGGTCCACGTAAACAGCTGAATAATGGGGTAGAACGGCGCATCCTTATTCGTATAGGCGCGGCCAGGTCGCTTGACCATAGCGGAAAACAGGATTTGCAACGATGAATTTCTGAATAACCCTATCTAGATAGGTGCGCGCCGCTGTCGGATAACGAGATTCGATAACTTCCCCGAAAAATGTTTGCGCAGCTATTGTCCATGCTTTCAGCATCTCGTTTACTCGGGTGGCAGCCCTAGGATCTCCGGACATGGGAGCCGTAAGACTCGCATGATAAAGCGGGTTCGCGCTGTCATGTGATCCAGTGACGCTGTCGCGTTTGCGCTTGAGCCCATTGTCAGGTTTTCCAATTTGTTCCCAAAGCTTCGCGACCTGAGGCAGATGCTCTTTTCCGGCGTGCAAGAGCTGTTCCAGGACACTTCTCGCATGCGTAAGAAATCCTTCCTTCGATGAGACCGTATTCAAATGGTGCAAGGGCTTGAAGGGCAGCTTGCGATGGAGTGGCAGCTAGCAATACCAGCATATCCCGTACGATGGACTTGTGCCCTTCTCTCCGCGTGCACGCTGTGTCCACCCATTCCAGGATTCTGAAGCAAGCCGCGTTTGCTGTAAGAGGGCCGCCTTCGTCCGCCGCTGTCGCTGCTAGGTAGATGAAGATCCGGGCGTGGAGCCGGCAATTGTCTGCATTCAAGAATTTTTGTAGAGATAAAGCAATGGACTGTCCATCTGTTCAACGGTTTTCCACGTGGTGAACTGTGCCTGGAGCGCCTTCCACGTGCTCGCGGAGTCAGCACTTCAGACCAGATGCGGGGACGACAGGACAACGTCTGCTTGCTGCTGGGCGTTCAGTGTAGAAACGCCTGCGAGGGCATCGAAGAAGTGTACTTGCTGCTCGCGTGGATCGTTTGCCCACGAAGTGACCAGCTCCAGCCATTGCTCCCTGGAACGCAGTGTCATCCAGCCTCACCGATCGCAGCTGTTCAAACGATTGAAGGTAAGGGGCCAGAA